GCACCAAAATCCAGATTCAATTTCTTTTCTTTTGGTACTGGGATTGAACCCAGAGGCACTTTGCCATTGAGCTACATCCCCAGGCCTTTTTAGTTTTTATTTTGAGGCAGAGGCTCCCTACATTGCCCAGTTTGACCTTTATTGCAATCCACTTGCCTCAGTCTCCCAAATTGCTGGGATTACAGGCATGTGCCCCCATGTTTAGCTACATAAGATTTATTTTTTTAATTGCATGGCAAATGATTATAAGTAATTTTTTAAAAACTGAAAAGCTGCAGAAAATATTTGTGATATATATCACAAATAAAGGCCTACTATCACAAGTTCATGAAGAAGTCTTTTTTGTGTGTGGGGAGAGGGGAGGGTACCAGAGATTGAACTCAGGGGAACTCAACCACTGAGCCCCATCCCCAGCCCTATTTTGTATTTTATTTAGAGACAGAGTCTCACTGTGTTGCTTAGCACCTTGGTTTTGCTGCTGCCTTTGAACTTGCAATCCTCCTACCTCAGCCTTCCGAGCTGCTGGAATTACAGGCATGCACCACTGTGTCCACAGAAGTCTTAAAAATTGATGGGAAAAATACCAAAAAAATGGGCTAAAAATCAAGAAAAAACAATTCACAAAAAWTATCTGAAAATTATCATTAAGCATATGAAAAGGTGTTTGACTTCATTTTCAATGATAAAAGGCAAATTAAAACTATGAGGAGATGTTCTCTCACCTCTCAGGTTTGTGAAAATAAGAAAGTATGGCATTCTGTTGGCAACGCTGTGGGGAATGGGCATTTTCATACACAGTAGATGGCAATACAAGTTGGTACAGCCCATGTGGAAAGAAATTTGGAAATACCTAACAAAATTACACGAGTTCACCTCTTGACCTAACAACACCACTTCTAGAAATACTGGAAGACATACCTCCAAGGATCCAAAAATAGATGTGCACAACATTATTTACCATAGCATTGTTTGTAACTGCAAACTACTGGAAATACTCTAAATGTCCATTCCTGGGAAACTGTTGAATAATSTATGGCATACCCATATAATGGAGTACTATGTAACTCTTTAACCAATATGGAATGCTTTTCCAGGATACACTCATTATATGGAAAAAGTGAAATACAAAGATTTTCTATACTGTGTTATGCTGTGTGTAATATAAGAGGAAATAAGAAAATGTGTCTATTCATTGGTGCAAAAAGAAACACAGAAACAACAARCCACAAACAAATGAGATTGGTTAATTACAGGAAGAGGATGGAAATGTGGTTGGAAGGCAGGGGGATGGGGGAGAGAATAGAAGGAAGCAGAAGTGTCACCTCTAAAGTGTCCAGTACCTGTCTCTTTTATGATCACTTGAACATTTCACGTACTTTAAAAGTAAATACAACAAAGATGGAGGAGGTAATATTGAACACAACCAGAAATGAATAAGTCTAATGGTATTTAAAATAAATAATACAGAGAAATGTGGGGAAGAATCAACCCAACTCAGTTACTTTTGGACTGAGTATTTTCACTGTGTACTCTTAGGGAAGCAATGGTTAAGAAATATTGAATTCTTGTTAACAGGATTTCCACAGGGTCACGCATGAGGGATTCTCAGTGTGGTCTGGTATTGATCAAATAAATAAACACATCATGAATAATGGGAGTCAGGTATTTCACTGTCAAGAATTACAAATATGGAAAGGGAGAAGCTAAAATGCATCTTGTGGTATTGCTTTGGAATTGGAGGTCACAGTATGAATTCTTGATTTCTGATTAGACAGCTATAAAAATGGATATGGGTGTCGTTACAGGTGTTGTACACATATGATTATTCAGCTCTCTCCATGCAGAAAGGTGCCTAGAAGCATGACACCCCAGTAGCAATGTGCACAATAGCCCCTGAATCTTGGCTTCTAAATACCACTCCCTATTGGAAGGGTTACTTGGAGAAATGACTGATTCAAGAATGCAGTCATTTTTCTGTGCATCTTGTTGTACCAGAAAGTAAGGAAGTACTCAAAAAATGACAGGAAGCAGGGCAAAGTGATCCATTCCTATAATCCCAGCAATTTGGAAGGCTGAGGCAAGAGGATAGCAAGTTCAAGGCCACCCTCAACAACTTGTCTCAAATTTACAAAGAAGCAAAAGAGCTGGAGGTGTAGTTCCTTGGGTTCAATCTCTAATACTGGGGGAGGAGGGAGAAGAACTAAGGCACTAAGGAAAGTGCCCACCCTCTTCCTGCACTCCTCTCCCACCTCATCTCCTGATGCTTTGCTGGGTTTACTATACTCCAGCCCACAGACCTCCTTGGAAGTCCTCAGACTTGCCATGCATTCTCCCAACTCATTCTCCCAACTTTGCACCTGCTGCCCCCTCAACCTGACATGTGCTTTCCCCTCAACATGCCTCGCTCGGTTACTCCTCTGCTTCTTCCTGTTTCTGCAAACATCATCTTCTAAAGCTTTCTCCAACCCTCTCTTCCCACKCTATTTACAAGCACAATTACCCTTGTTATCCTCTCTTGTTCCCTTAATCTGCCTTATTTTTCTTCATAGCACTTACAGGGACTGATGTTCTAGATCTGTTCATCGACATTCTCTCCTAGGAATGAAGCTGTCTCAGGAAACAGGTATCCTCTGTGTGGGTCCCTATTGTGTACCCTTGAGCACCCCCTGGAGCAGAGCAGGCGCTCGATAAATATTTGCTGAATGATTGAATGAATGGCTTTTCCCCACTCATGACCTCTCATTGCTGAGCTCGTGTGTACTGAACACTGAACTGGTGGCTGTCCCCATGTCAGATGCTTTATATACACTCTTTCATTTGGCCCTCTCACAACCTTATGGCATGAACATTTTATCTCCATTTTACAGAGAAAGAAACTGAGCCTCCAAGAGGTTCGGCTCTTGGCTTATAAGTGACTGGAGCCAGAACCCCAAGTATGTGTCCATAACTCGTGTCAAGCTACCAGTGTGAGTCCCTGCTGTCCCCAGGCCTGTGAAGCACAAACTTGCCAGCACAGAACATGTTGTCCGTAATGCGGATCCGCGTGGAGGCCTTGCAGACGGGCCGCTCCACGATGGGCAGATTGACCACCTGCAGGACACTGGGCTGCACCTCACTGACGGTGGTCGTCCATGTCTCCTTCAGATTGCCCCAGCCTGTGACCCGCCCTTTATATCCAGCCTGGAGCAAGCTTGGGGAAAGAGAAAAGGACCTGGTAAGACCAACCCTCCAGCAGCCTCTGGAACCCAACCCCACTCCTAGAGACCAGAATCTAAACCTCCAGCACAGGAAAGAACTTGCATTTCCTCCCTGAGACAGGCCTGGCAAGGAKGAAGGAACAGCAGCCAGGCCATACCTCATCAGCCCACCAGAAATCCTGCCCCCGCAGRTCTGGCTGCCCCACCTGGCTGCCGTCTGCTTGTCGGGCAAGCACACGGGGTGAATGTGCTCGCTGAAGGTGATGGGCTTCTTGAGCTTCAGCAGGGCGATGTCCCGGTCCAGGTTCTCCCGCCAGTTGTACCTGGGGTGGATGTAGATCTTCTCCAGCATGGATATCTTTTCAACGTTCCGCTCGTACCTGCACATGCGCCAACAGAGACCCGGAGAGACCATGGACTCACCCAAGTGAGAGGCAGMGGTTCCCCCAAAAAGTAAACTGCCTGTCCTCAGGGTCTGGGAGGCAGGGTGATCACAGGGCCACCAGGGAGGGGACAGAGCTATTTCCTGTCTTGATAGCCTCCTGGAAGCTTCCTCCCAGCCCTAAACCCACACAGGGCTTTGGGGTCAGGCAGGCCAGGAGCCAAGGACAGTAGCACAGGCCATGCACCCTGTTCACACAGTCACTATTTGAAGAGACTCCAACCAGGGCCATGTCCTGGTGTCTGGAATAGAGTGGGGGACAGACCAGGGTTTCACTCCTTGACCCCAGCTCCAAGCCTCCATCAGGACATGGCCAATTGGGCCTTTCTGGTGGGGACAGCTAGGATGTCATATTGTGGGAAGGAACATATTTCCCACATACCCCGGAGCTACCAGGGTCCTCACAGGCATCCTGGAGGACACAGACCACTGCCAGACACACATAGGTCACTGGCTCTGTACCTGGTGCGGGAGTGCTTGCCAATGCGCACCAGAAGGTCATTCTCAGTGAAATTCTTGTCCCAGGGTGGGTACAGAAGGCAGTGAGCAGCTGTGAGGACCCAGCGGTCACTGATGAGGCTGGCCCCACACAACAGCTCCTGGGGACTCTTCCGGAAGAGCATCACCTGCCTGGTAAGGGGAGCAGGAGGCATTAGGACCCGGGGCACTGCCCTTCACCAGCCCTAAAAGTAGAAAGAAGTCCCAACTGAAGACCTAGCTGGACAGAGCTGCCTCCTGGGCTCAGCTCCCAACTTGACCTGGGGGGCTGGAGGGACTAGAGTCCCCACGTGATGCTAGGGCTGCTTCCTGCTTTTTGCAACCCTTCCCAGCTTCCTCCAGGGCAGAGTCTGCACCGCTTAGCACAGCTCTGGAGCCAGGAGAACTGGAGTCGAGTGCGCAGCGAGCCTGGGGTGGGGCATTTGGGCTCTCTGGGCCTCAGCTYCGCCATCTGCTTTGGATAATTAATAGAACCAATCTCATACGTTGCTGTGTGCATAAGAGATCACGGATGCTAATGTCATCTGGGAAGCCCAAGCCTCTGGGCAGAGGGATCCTGCAAAAACTGAGGGGTGGGGACCAGCAGCAGCCCACCCGCTGGAGTGACTGATAGTGCAYGGCTCCAGGACTCACCAAGGTGCGATGCCAACTTCAGCGTCCCAGCCCTCTACAATGCGCCCATCGATGTAAGAATCCAAAAGCTCATCTTCAGTTTTGTCCTTCACTGTCTTCTTCTCGAACAGAGGCCGCAGCCCRCAGTCTGCAGAGCAAACCAGGTGGTGAGGGGCTAATTGTAGGTACCAGCCCCAGCGYGACACAGACACCCATGGATGCCTCACCTGCCTCCCCGCTGCCAAAGGTCTTCTCATCAAAGAAGGTCTGGAACTCCTCCTTGGTGGTGCGTCCTCCTATGGTCCCGTCCCCATCCTCGCTCAGTGCATCCCCTGGCCCCTCTTCCACGGCCTCCTCTGTAGGGACCCCAGCACTGGCTAGGGCTGGGGTAGGGCACTCCTCACCCATGCCCTAGATCCCCACATACCCCAGCCAGCCTTAGAAGACATTGATGCTRAGGTTAAGAGCACACACACACACCTGGGTCACTAGGCAACTGCCTCAGTGCCTCAATGTGCTGGTCTGTGAAATGGGAATAGGACCTACACCCTGGGTTTCTGTGAGGCTATGATGAAGACTCTGGTGTGGCTAAGGGGTAGCACCTGTTCTTGTTATTCCCCCCAGCTTTGTCCTCTGCATCTCAAGACCCCTCCCTGCCTGCTCACCGCAGTAGTTGAGGTCGCAGTAYTCAAAGTCACCAGCCTGCCCAGCCACGTAGCACCAGGCACCTTCCTCATCCCCATCTGGGTTKCGGCAGAAGTTTTCCACCAGCTTCACCTCTGGGCTAAAATCCTGGTCCTTGCTCAGGGCCTTGGCCTGCGGGCTGGACCAGGACAGGCAGGGAGACCCGTGCGTTGTCACCGCCAGTTTCCCTTCGTACTGCCGGCCTCGCTCAGGGACACACTGCTCYGATGAGGGTGACAGGTTCCCCCTGGAGCCTCCAGAGCGGGGAGTCATCTCCACAGTGAAGCGCTCCTCACCTGGTGGGAAGGAGACAGGTGCAGAGTGGGTGGACCATACATGGAGCCCGGCAGACTAGGGTTAGCTGACATCTGTCTGTCTGACCTCAGCGGCCTTTTCAGCTTCAGTTCCCTGCTTTCCCCCAGTACTAGTGCTTTTGCAGGGTTGTTGAGAGGATTAAACAAAATGTCCAGCATAAGCATCAGGCAAGCCGGAGATCCATAACCAGCTTCATCGTCCAGGGCGAGTTGTGATTTTCTAATTTTTTTATTTTGCAGCACTGGGGACTGAACCGGAGGGTGTTCCACCATGGAGTCACATCCCCAGTTCTTTTTATTTATTACTTTGAGACAGAGTCTTGCTAAATTGCTCAGGCTGCTTTGAACAGACTGGCTTTTCCTGTCTTGGTCTCTCCAGAGTCACTAGGATTATAGGCTACGTGACACACTGTACCTGGCTTGAATATCTGTAATTTATTGGTAGTGACTTCATGGAGATCCCCCCGCCTTTTTTTTTTTTTTTTTTTCTGATGGCACTGGGGATTGAACCCAGGGGCACTCTGCCCTTTTTCTATTTTTTTTTTTAAGAGAGAGAGAGAGAGAGGGAGAGAGAGAGAGAGAGAGAATCTTTAATATTTATTTTTTAGTTCTCGGCGGACACAACATCTTTGTTKGTAYGTGGTGCTGAGGATCGAACCCRGGCCKCWCGCATGCCAGGCGAGCGCGCTACCGCTTGAGCCACATCCCCAGCCCCCTTTTTCTATTTTTGATTTTTAGATAGGGCCTCACTAATTTTCCCAGGCTAGGATGGAACTTGCAACCCTCCCACGTCCAGCTTCCGAGTTGCTGGGATTACAGGGGTGCGCCACTGCTTGGTACCAGGGATTAAACCCAGGGATGCTTAACCATTTAGCCACATCCCCAGCCCTTTTTAGTTTTTATTTTGATACTGGGTCTTGCTAAGCTGCTTAGGGCTTCGCTAAATTGCTGAAGCTGGCTTTGAACTAGCTATCCTCTTGCCTCAACCTCCCAAACCACTAGGATTACAGGCCTGGGCCACCACACCCAGCTTGGGTTCTGTATTCTTATAGGGCATGGCAGGAAAAATTGATGGGGTCTACTAGGAATGCCTGTGTGGTTTCGACGTGCCTGCAACCCATTTCTCATCAGTGTGTTTGGGGGAAGGTGGATAAGAGTAGTTGTTTTGGTTAAGGTGATTGGTATCTTGCTTTAAGACCAGACCCAGAAGGAAGCTATGAGTCCAAGAGGGATTCAGAAAGAAAAAAACCCAGAAACCCACGTTCCCTGGATGGAATCGCTGTTCTGAATTCTTTATCCCTGCCTGCGGCCACATCATTCCCTATGATTTTAGAGGCAGCCAGTATTTTACTCCTTGAGTTGCCCTTGATCATGTGACTTGCTCCAGCCAGTGGAACTTGGGTGGGACTGACTGCCCATTCTGGCCTAGGCCTTAAGACATTAAAAACATTGTGCCGTCACTGGGGGGAGGAGCTTCCCCAGGGAATTGCTGGCACCCAGCCTCAGCCCCAGCATGAGCATGAGGGAGCAGCTCTGGGGCCAGAGCAGCTGGGAGCCAGGCTCAGCTGGACCCATCATTTGGAGCAGAGCCAAGCCCAGCCTATAACCATTGACATCAGACACACTGGCGAGTGCAGCTGAGACCAGCAGAGCCACCCCAGCCCAGCCTCGTCACGTAAGAAGGACATGCTAGTTGTGCATGCCCCTGAGACTCCTGGACAATCCCTGGGCCTCGGTCACCGACCGCCTGATTGCCCCAGCTCACCACAGACGGGGACGCTGCACTCTTCCCTCCGCACCGTGGGGTCTGTGGTGTAGCACCAGGGTCCTGTGGTGCTGCCGTCTGGGTTGCGGCAGAAATTCTCCTGCAGTTCAGCCCCAGGATGGGTGGTGGAGTTGATGCTGGAATAGGAGACTGCTCAGCAGGAGCCATGCCTGCCCCTCGTCCTCACTCCCCGTTCTCAGCCCACCACTCACTCAGGTTTATGTGGGTAGCGACTCCTCCACAGCTGACACTCAATGCCTGACCGGGTGACGTTCACATGTCCTCGGTAGTTCATGCCCAGATCCTTGGCACAGTTACCTGCAAAGAGACCCCAGCCTGCGTCAGCTGAATCCAGAGGATGTGTCCCCTTCTCTCCTGGCAAAGCTCTGTCTGTCCACCCTCCCCAAGCTCCCTCTGGCCCACTCTTCTTAGCCCACAACATCCCTGCTCAGCAACTCCTGTGCACACAACAGTTCTCTAACCCGTTTAACAGCTGTCACCAGATAGTCACTGAGTGCTCACTGCATGAGAACCATGTGACAGGTACCATGCCAGGTACTGAGGACCTAGCAATAAGTAAGACAGTCACAGTCAAGGTAGGTGCCTGCCTCCATGGAGCTTCTGTTCATTGGCTCCTTGTGGCCAGCAAAACGAAAAAGTGAACAAGGTCCTTCTAATTGGGCTCTGGTCTCCCCCCTGTCATCTTAGTTGCTCATGCTTCAGGGCCTTTGCACATGATACTTCCTCTGAGGGCATGTTTCCTGGTTTCACCAGTGCATCCCTCTAGGTCAGATAAACCCTACTTCTCGGAAGCAGTCCCTGATTCTGCTATCAAACCAGATGTGCTTCTCGTGTGTGTGTGTGTGTGTGTGTGTGTGTGTGTTGTACCAGGGATTGAACCTGGGAGCACTCAACCACTGAGCCACATGCCCAGTACTCTTTATTTTTTGAGACAGGGCCTCTGCTAAGTTGCTTAGGGCCTTGCTAAATTGCTGAGGCTGGCTTTGAACTCACGATCCTCCTACCTCAGCCTCCTGAGCTGCTGGGATAACAGGCGTCTACCACTGCTGCCAGTTTCTCATGTGTTTTATTGGTACCTGGAGTAGAACTTTTCTAGAGATCATGTTCATGTTTTGTATTTTGTTTTTCTATAAGATCGGGAGGTCCTTGAAGTCAGGGACTATATTCAATTTTCTTAAAATTCCCAGCACCTGACACACTGCCTGGAGCCTACCAAAATGTTTTTTAAGTTATTTAACAATTGAAACTATGGCTAGTGATAGGAGTTCCATGTCATGCGGCCTATTGTCACAATGAAGATGTGTTTGGAACACTTGAGGAGCAGGGAGGGTCCCTGAAGGCTCAGAGAAGGTGGAGGCCTTTGAACTAGTATTGAAATAGGGGCTTTCAGTGGGCAGTGAACGGTGACCCTATAATTAAGGACCAAGAAGTAGGAACATCCTGACATGCTTCCAGAAGTTCTTGTAGTCAGAGTAACAGGGGTTTGGGTTCACATTTGGTACAGCAGGAAGTCTAGAAAGGGAAGTTAAGGGCAGAACCTGCAAAGTTTGCCAGGCTAAGACACCTGTGTTTTTTTCTGTGAGGGTAATGGGGAGTCACTGAAGGTTGTAGAGAGTAAATGTGACATCATCAGAGCTGTGACTCAGGTAGACAGAAGGTCCAGTCAGGCAAGCAAGAATGAGGGTCTAAAAATTAATTATCCATTCACTCCTTTGTTCCTCCAACATGAATCACCTGCTGACTCTCAGAGATCCACATGCAAATACACATCCTTGACGACAGGGACTTCAATGTCAGGGCCACACTCCCCACCTGCTCTCCTCCTCTTCCAGGTGGCCCTGGCAGATCCTGCCCCCACCCGTGTCGTTCCTCACCTTCCATACACTCCATGAAATTGGCTCTAGGTTTCCTCACTGGCTCACAAGCTGGAAGAGATCAGGAACACCTTTGGGATGGGGCAGGGACGGGCTGGAGTAAAAGTGGTGGGATGACAGGGACAGCAGCAGACTAAGAGAGGGATGGGGGGGTGGCATGCTCCAGGAGGTTCCAGGGGCAGGGCGTTCTCTGGCCGGAGCCCCCACCTCCCTTCCTGCACTCACCTGTGTACTTGGCCCAGAACACATCCTGAAAAACAAGGGCTGGGATGAGACTCTGGCAGGATGGAGTTTGTCTCCCTCAGCCTGTCACACAGGGGCGGGAGGGGCGGGGCCAAGTCTCCTACTTTTGCTTCCAAAAGGAGAAGAGTGTGTGAGGAGAGAGGAGTCCCCGGCACACACCCCACCGTGGGCTGGGGGAGAGGGACACGCAGGGCCCCCGGCTGGGAAGGGCTGCCCAGAGCTCCAGGTGCATGAGACCCCAGCCCGGGCACCTGGCCTCACCAGTTCCCGGGCAAGGGTGGCGCAGAGGGCAGAAAAGCTTCCACCAGGATCAGGCACCCCCAAGAGCCCAGTGGAGGCACATAGGAGGCCCTGGATGTCAGGGAGCCTCAGCAGGACTTGACACATCCCCGGTGGAGGGGCCTCCCAAGAGCCACTGAGGCTACCCATCTTGCAGCTCTCAACCAGGAGGGCTGACCTGCTCCCCTGCTGCGGCCCAGAGCCGGCGGCCACCCTCCTGGAGCAGCCCAGGCTCACCGTGGCGCTGGTGGACTCCAGGGCCTCGAAGGCCTCCTCGTAGCTGCACCGCTCCTCCACGCACTCCCGCTCCAGGTTGCCCTTGCGCAGCTCCTCCAGGAAGCCACTGTTGGCCCGCCGGACCCGCTGGAGCAGCGACAGTGCTTGCTGAGGGGCCAGGAACACTGCAGTAGGAGGGTCGTGGGACGGTGGCCTCAAAGAGCTCGGCTGTCGTAGCCATTTTTGTGTGGGCAGGAAGCAAGCCTGGCCTGCCCTGCTGGCTTCCAAGAGGGGGTTTCTGGGATGCCGAGTCCCTGCAGGCTGCTGACCCCGCTTCCCAGCTCCCCTCCTCTAACTGGTGCCCCTTGCCCACTCCCCCACCACGGCTGGGAGAAGCAGTGGCCGGCCTGCCAGCCCCCAGCACCTTTCCGCTTCCCTAAGCGGGACACTCTACCTGAGACCCACCCCAGGCTGCCTGGGCTCTCTGCTGAGCCCGCGGACCCACACCATAGCCCCTACCCTGCCCCAGCTTCCCAGTGCCCCCTTACCATCCTGGCTGTGCACAAGGACAACCAGGGCAGCCAGGGCCAGGCAGCCAGATAGCCCCAGGCCTCGGACGTGCGCCATAGTGCGTCAGCTCCTGGGACTCTGAGGGATTGTCCTGACCCCTCTCGGTTAATGTTGAACCAACATGAAGAAATGTGTGGAAAGGGAGAGGTCAGCGGGTCAGGGCCATGGGGACAAGTAGACAGATAGTCCTCTGGTCCACCCCCACCACTGGGGAGGACAGGTCTTCCTGGGACCAGGGACAGGTTTCTGAGAGGTAAGCTTAGAGCCCATGCCCTCCCTCCCTCCCTGAGACGTGGGTGAAAGTGTCAGTGGGGCCACCAGACCTTCCTGAGGTTTCCTTCCTATCCTAACAAATAGTGACGGTGCTTCAGCCTCTGTGGCCTGAGTTTCCCTATCTGTGCAATGGGAATCATACTTTTGTTGTCAGAACTAAGGGAGATTATGAATGTAGAACCCATGAAATACAGAAAGTGTTTAATAACCTGTAGGTCTACACATGTAAATCAAGAGGAGGTTTATGCAATCATAGTGTGCAGGTATAAGGAATGGAGACAAGGGTGTGGCAGGATGGAAGCTGGCCCCTTGCCCTAGGATGACCTGGGGTAGGGACAGCTAACGTTGGCCCCAGCCCATTTCTCCTTTTTCCTGGCTAGGGTGCTGTGGAGGACTGTTTGTGTGGGGCAGTTGCCTGTCTGGGAGGAGGAGCTGCGCCCAGGGCCTCTTGGGCCTTCCATGTATCATCTTCTCCCACCTCCTGCCTTAGGACCAGCCAGTCCAAATCCCTGGGTCTCCAGGGCAGGACCCTTCTCTTCCACCTGTCTGCCCTGTGCCAGGCTAGGGAGGCTTCTGGTCCTACATGGCTTCTGGGCCCAGCCTGTGCCTGCCCTCCCCCATTTCCTATTTGCAAAGTAAATATTAGTCCTGGGTCTAAGTAGAACAGAGGGACAAAGAGCAGGAACACAGAGAAGCCCAGGTGCTTGACTTGCCTTGCCTGTCTCCAGGCCTGGCTGTTCAGGGTCATATACAGCCTGGGAAGAAAGAGACCTGGGGACCAGGACTCCCACAAACCAGCTTAATTCCTGAGTAGACTTCTTCCTATATATTTTCATATATATTTGTAAATTTGTAAATTCATATGTATTTGAAATTTACATATATAAATTTATATATACATTTACATAAATTTATGTAAATTTCTAATACATATGAATTTACAAATTTCAAAATAGAGTTGCATGCCTATAGTATCAGCTACTTGGGAGGCTGAGGTGAAAGGATAACTTGAGTTTACAAGCTTGAGACCAGCCTAGGCAACGTAGCAAGATATCATCTCAAACAAAACAAAACAAAACAAAACAAAAAAAAAACTGGGCAAGAGGCTGAGGCAGGAGGATCACAAGTTTGAGGCCAGTCTCAGCAACTTATCAAGGTACTAAACAACTTAGTGAGATCCTGTCTCAAAATAAAAACATAAAAAGAGCTGGGGATGTAACTCAGAGGTAAAGTGCCCCTGGGTTCAATACCCAGTACAAAAAAATCTCTCTCTCTCTCTCTCTCTCTCTCTCTCTCTCTCTCTCTCTCTCTCACACACACACACACACACACAAACATATATATAAATTTCAAATTATATGTATTTTTATTTTATGTATTTTTAATTTTTTTTTTAAGAGAGAGTGAGAAAGGAGAGAGAGAGAGAGAGAGAGAGAGGACTTTTAATATTTATTTTTTAGTTCTCGGCGGACACAACATCTTTGTTGGTATGTGGTGCTGAGGATCGAACCCGGGCCGCACGCATGCCAGGCGAGCGCGCCACCGCTGAGCCACATCTCCAGCCCTTAAATTTTTGAGCCACTGTGTCTGGTCCAAAATTATATACACAAGCTAGGGATGTGGCTCAGTGGTAGAACACTTACCTAACATGTGCAAGGCCCTGGGTTCAATCCCAGTACTGAGAATAAAACAATCATGTACAAACTTGTGTAACCAGTTCCCAGTTGGCTCTTTCATGTCACCACATAGCTGTCCCTCCTAAGATAACAACTGTCCTAACTGCAATCAGCAGAGATCAGTTTTGCCTGTTCTTGACCTTGATATACATGGAAACTCAGCATATATTTGTTTATGTCTGCCTTTTCTACTTCCACCTGTCTTGAGATTCCCCCATGATGTGTGCATCACAGGCTGGTTCCCTTTGTTGCTCTGTGGTCTCTCATTGCATGAGTGTTGCACATTTGGTTTATTTCTTCACCTGCTGATAAGCTTTTCAGTGAATTTCTAGTTTGGGGCTACTATGAACCACACTCCTATGAATATTCTTGAACATGTTTTTTGGTGTAAATAAAGTTTAGTTTTACTGGGTATATGTCCAGGAGGGTATTTGCTGGGTCATAAGGTAGGCATATGATTTACTTAAGTCTCTAGGACAAAAGACTGTCGGGGGTGGGGGCGACTCATCAGTCTTAGCTGTGCAGATGACAACCTGGGAACTATTTGGTTGAGCCAATAGTTGTCATGGACAAGATGCCAGGACCTATATTCTTCAGAATGAAGTTTCCATCAGCCAACTTCTCCCTCTAAATTTGCTGCCAGTGCTATTATGATATATAAATTCATCAGCCTGACACACAAACCCAGGAATAAATCTGGGAAAGCAGAAATCCTTATAACCAGTTCTCATTTTTCTAGTAGTTAGAGAACTGAAGTTTTCTGCTTGGGAACATTGTCTTCAAACAGCTTGCTGAAGATATGGGCCAAGAACTTACCCATCAGCCAGGCGTGATAGCACATACCTATAATCCTTGTTAGCTATGAAGGCTGAGGCAGGAGGATCTCAAATTCAAAGCCAGCCTCAGCAAAACTGAGGTGCTAAGCAACTCAGTGAGACCCTGTCTCTAAATAAAACACAAAATAGGACTGGGGATGAGGCTCAGTGGTTGAGTGCCCAGGAGTTCAATCCCTGGTACAAAACAACAACAACAAACCCTCATCAATGGCCATGCTGAGGAGTTGGCCGTTGTTAGGATATGTTGAAATCCTAACTCCTATTGTGAGGAGGGGAGGACTTGGGATGTGGTTAGGTCACGAGGGTGGAGACCTCTGAATGGGATTAGCACCTTGATAAGAAAAGGCAAGAGAGGGATCCTCTCTGTCCTCCATCATGTGAGGACACAATGACAGGATAGCCATCTGTGAATCCTCACTAGACACTGAATCTGGGACTCCTTGGCCTTGACTTCTAGCCTCCAGAACTGTGAGAAATCAACACTTGTTGCTTAAGCCACCAGTCTATGGTAATTCGTTAAGGCAGCCTGAGCATGCCACATACTCACCAAACTTGTAACTCCAAGTAAGAGTCTGCAAAGAGGCCAATAGGTCCTACTGAAGTATCTCCACAGCAGCCTTCTGAGGTGGATATTGTTATAGTTCCGATTTGTCAGATGATAAGATCAGAGCATGAACTTCCAAACCAGTGCTCTCTTTCAAGCTGGAATGGCTGTCAGGCTTGTGAAGTTCTGACAGCAAGAGAACAAGGAGCAGTCATCAGCTCCACCTCCCTCTTTGCCTCTCCTTGTTTTTTGTCCTCCTCCTGTGTCTTCTCCCTTCCAGGGCTGGCCCATGCTGGTCCTGGGAAGAAGGGGGCCATCTGGGATCACCTACTTCAAGGCGATCTCCTACTTCTCAGGAGTCCTACTCACTTCCTTTACTAATATGTAATTTTAAATAAATTAGTGCTGTGACATCTTTTCACCCACTAAATTTATAGAAAAGGTTTAATGTCATCTATCAACAGAGAATGTACATTAAAACTTCAGTTCTCTGACCACTGGAAAAATGAGATCTGGTTATAAGGTTCCTGCTTTCTCAGATTTATTCCTGGGTTTGTGTGTCAGGCTGATGAAGTTACACATCATTATAGCACTGGCAGTAAATATAGAGGGAGAAGTTGGCTGATGGAAACTTCATTCTGAAGAATATGGGTCCTGACTTCTTGTCCACTATTTGGCTCAACCAAATAGTTTCCAAGTTGTCTCCTGCAGAGCTAGGACTGATGACGTGCTCTTTAGCAAGGTGAAAGATGGCATGAATCTTGTGGAAGTTGTGGGGTGCCTTGGATCCAAGAATGACAAGACCAGGAGAAGACTCTAGGCCATTCTCATAAATTTAATTTTGTGTTTCATCTTATCCCCAGCTATTATTTTGTCTCTAAGGAGACAAAATTGGATTCCATATATCCTTTATCTCTCTTGAAGTCTAGCTGGATTACAGAATTAACTTTATGGTTTAAAATAAAAACTAACCCTCCCCCCGCAGTACATGTTAAGTATTGCCATGCCTGCCACATAATAAGCACTCCATAGACAGCATTATTTATTTGTTTTTATTTCTCGCAGTACTAGGGATTGCACCCAGGGCCTTGTGCATGCTAGGCAAGCACTCTACCACTGAGCTACAKTCCCAGCCCAATAAGCAGCATTATTACATGATATGATATAATCAAATACCTGTGAAGGTTCGTCCTAAAATCATGAACATGATCTAATAAAAACTCTAGCTTTAATCACAAGTTTACAGGCAATACAGAAGGTAAAGGAATAAATTAGAGACCAACATAATCCTAAATATGTTAGGGACTTCAACATATGAGGGACATGCAACAGGACAAATGACCCATTTCTCTGACAAACTCATGACATGCAAATAAAGGGGTGGGGTAAGGAAGACTATTCAGAATAACAGGAGTCTATGAGACCTAACAATCAAAGGTCAAAAGCAAATAGAATTACTATGATTGGTTTAGATTTTTTAACAAAAACTATAAAAAGACATTTTTTGGATAAACAAGAATGTTTAAATATCTGGTTGTGATGGTGTGCACATGTAGTCTTGGCTACTTAGGCTGAGGGGATCATTTGAGCCCTGCCTGTGCAACATGGTGACACCCCAACACCAAAATAAAAAAAAAGAATAACATTTCAATGTAGATTATGTATTTGATTAAATATTTGTTAATTTGATGTGTTATATGACATGTGATTATATTCTTATTTTTAAAAACTTTAAAAATTTTACATA